AATGTGTATATATACATATATATGTATATATATTTATATATAATCTTGGAAAGGATATTTAAAATTTATAATCTGAATACTCAATATATCTTTAAACATACAAAAATCAATTTCCAGTGTGATACTACATTTCCATTTCAGAATTAGGGATATTTCATCATAACTGAGTAACAAATATATCACTATATTGATTGAATGGTTTTAAATGACAGTCTGGTGAATAATTTTGAATATTCTCTAAAATGAGTAATTTATAGATCTCAGCATTTTTATTTTGATGCATATATATATATATTCATGTTCACTAGCTTTAAAAATTTGGGAATGATTATAAAATTGAGGTATATCATTAAAAAAATTACAGTTTAACTAGTGGCAGTTCATAACTGTATATTTTAATATTAGGTACCTAAATGCTAAACAAAAAGAAAAATATGAAGAAACCCTATCATGCATATTATATATCTTAGGAAAGTTTAACAAGGGTAGATTTCAACTATATAAAGAAAACATGTATCATTAACTTTGTATTTTGAAGTGGAAGTTTAAAGTAGATATTAAAACTCAAGATTTCAATAAATTTGATAGCTATAAGTGTTTCACTATTGTTAGAATTTTCATAGTGAAACACCCTTTTGACTTTAGATATTAATATAGCAAAAAATATTCCATCTTTATAAAGTTAAAAAGCATAATTTTTCTGTGGATAATTTATGTAAATATATTATTACAGGTGATATACATTTATTGGTCAAGTTTTTACTTTTATATATCAATTATTCTATTTGGTATATTAAATTTTAGTCTGCATGACACTGATGAACTTCTCATGTCTGAAACAGGCTAGTGAAATTATTATAGCATCCTAAAAGAAATTTGCTAATCAATTAACCTGGAGTTACTGCCACCCTTCAGATTTTATTTCAATAGGCAGATACTAAATTGAAAATATACAGCAAATTTGGTTTCAATAGCCATTGTTGTGTTGTTTTTAATGAATTATACAGTAAAATTTTTGAAAAGTGTGTTAGTTGAGAATGCTAGAAATGATCACTAGTGGTAGAAATGAATGTGTGAGTAAAAATATATAAAACATGTACATGCCAGAACACCAAAAAACAACAGAATTTCGCTGCTTGCATAAATATAAATGAATATAAATGATTCCATATTCAAGTATTACAATCAAGAAATAATTGAACTTATAATATCTTGAAACAATTCTTGAAATACACAATCTGCAAATAAATTTGTTCAATGCAGACCAGGTATAAATGAATCCTTAAAATAAAGCCATAATCTCATCTGTGCATATGTTAAATTAAAATTAAAAATGACAAAAATGAAAAACATCCTTTAAAACAATGGTTCATAACTTCCACTTTTAGAACCATTATATTTTAAAGTATATACATGTCTATTTTATAGTAGAAATATACAGTATTTCTTCATGATTAATAATGAAGATGCCTAATAAAAAAAACTCTATAATCTTTCTAGTCAACATATCTCTATAATTATTACTTGACTATTACTCTCCTCTATAAAATGACTTTCCTAATGTCTAATAAAAATGTATCTGACATACTTAGCATTGTGCAATATATCATAACATTTTTGTTTTGATCCCTAATAGAAAATTAAAAATCAAATTATTTTATATATTTATAACATTAATTTTCTATAAAATATTTCTATTTTAATATTCAGAAGATTTTTATAGGAAACAATCCAACTCTCTCAAACTTAGAGTTAAATGTTGTTCTTTTAATACCAGTACAGTTTTTATAATACTAGTACAGTTACCATGAGAAGTATTTGACCTGTGTCTAGTAAGCCGTGATCTGCTAAAACCAGAGGAAGAAACAGAAAGTTTTGTATTATTGTCACATTCAAAAATTTTACTGCATGAAATTTTCTGTTCCCAATCTAACATTCCTAAAGCATGAAAATAAAAGTATAATTTGAAATACTTGAAAATATTAAAATGTAAAAAAACTTGGAAAAAATGTGTATGTGATGACTCACAATCCATCTATTTTTGTATGTCATATACATGCTACATATATTCATGGAAATAGATATGATTAGTTATAGAAAGGCATTAAGTTGAATTGAAATTAATAATAATACTGTACAGCTGTCAAATGCAGTATCAATGAATATAAACTTTATCAGATATAAAGTTTATCTGACATCTGTTAGATACACGTATTTTTAAGCACATGACTAATGTCTACCCAGCTACTTTAATCTTATTCTCACATACCTATTTGCAATAGTAGAGAACCTCAAAGGATTTGTGGAAACTCATGCATAAATAAAACGGTTAATATGATAACAGCTTATACTTTTGCAACATTTTATTCTCTTTGAAAATTAATTAATTAACTCTGCCTGGCTTCTAGTATTTAAATCTGTTGCTTTGATGTTTCTAGTTCCTTTTTCTTAGTGTAAAATTTATTCTTAAAAGTAGTCATTCTGGGTATCTTGACATACCTGCAAATATTTTAATTTGGAACCCTCTGAAAAGTGGAAGAAGAGCACATTTCCAAATGACTGGACAGAATGCTTGCGATCTGCTGTACTGTCATTAATCTGGAGTAATGTGACTTTGGTAACCATCTATGGAACTCTTGAAATTAAATAGCCAGCTTTTGACATTTCAAACTAGGACTAAGGTATTTTCACTTTTTCCCTTATCTAATTGAAAAATAATGAAGAAAAAAATAGTAAAAGAGAGTAGGAAGGAGGGAAGGAGGAGATATAAGGAAATAAGAAATAATAGACTAGAAAAAGAAAATTATAAATATTAATTTGAATATTTTGCCAATAACACAAGGTAGTAACACAAATATAATTCATACATAAGGACAGAAACTGCAATCTTGGATTCAATTTTTAAACTTTTTTTTCACTGTATGTGTCGATGTTCTCATTACAAATTTGTTTGATTTTCTTACTAGTATTAAGGGAACAGTGGTGAGAGACAGACTTGGGTACCCAGGAAATTTGTCAAAAACTTCCACTTTTCATGTCTAAAGATGATAATCTTGACTAAACAAAAGACATGTTCCAAGTCTGCTATCTAGTCTAAGGTGGTTTAACTTACAACTTCAATCAATAGTTTAGCTGTTAATATTTTTTTGTATTAGCATACAAATTATCTACATTTACTTGGAATATATTTATTTTCTCTTAGATAATTTAAGTATTTACATAATAATCACAAAGACATAAAATAATATTTTGTAATATCTACCTGGAAATACATTTATATGAGATTTATGCAACATATTAAATTGAACAAGCACAAAGAGTAGCTTAGATTGCATTCAAAATTTAATTGATGCCTGAAACATTACATATTTTGTTCCCCAAAATTCCGTGAAGAGAATTTGCAGGTTTTCTTAATCCAGTCACAAACTACCGATATACCCAGTCTAATTATCCACTCAGTGAACAACTCGAAGCAACATAAATTAAATATTCAAAATTATACAGCCTGTATTCTACCTTAAAAGTTAATGTGTTGGCAGGAAACCATTGGTAGGAGAAAAATACTTCATTTTTTAATTCTGTGCAGTTTCATGATTCTGAGATGATAACAAATTTTTCGACTTTATGAAAGGATGAGTTTACTTTTATTTTCTTAATACAATGGGAAAACCTAATATAAAAATTAGAAGTATCTTTTAAAAATCAATCTATAATTGTTATTTTCAAGATTCAAATAAAATATTGGACACCTTAGGAAGAGTAAAGATAAAAATGGACCACTCCCTAAAGGGAGTGTATGTGACAAAATTAGGTGAAATAATGCTGTAGTTTTAAAATAAAATTTGTAAATCTTTGAAAATTACATCACTAAACTTTCTTTGAAAGTTACTTATATTGTCCAGAACTAAGTCATTAAATTTAAGTCATTCTTCTCTTTTTATTTTTTGCATCAATTAAGAAATAAAAGTAAGTTACAAGGAGGTTTCCATTTTACATTTATATTTTATAATTTATAAAATTGTCATACCTATATATAATTAGGTTGAGGAAGTGATAATGACATTTTTTAAAAAAACTGTCTGCTGCTGTGAAGAATAACAGTCTCAACTGTGAAGTCAAATGCTAGTATTTATTTTTTCTTTTCTAATCCTGGATCTAATAATATAGAGGAGGTAGATGAAGAGCAAGAGATGCACTTTTCTTCGTGCGAATACCATGGCATTATTAAGCTTATTCCTTTCCTCTTTGAAAAAAACTTTAGAAAAGAAAATGTTGCAGACAATATGAATAGCTTACTGTACTTGGTCAATGTAGCATTACAATTTATTTATTTTTTAATCATCAGGAAAACTGTTTACCACCTGTTCAATCTGAATTCAAGTAGTTACTGTCAATTTACTCATGGGTGAATGCTGCCTCTTTGTGGCAGAATGCCATGGAAATTGTTCTTTAAACACAGAGTTCATGAACAGCCCTTGATACTGTACAAATTCCAGGTGAGATTATAGGGAGATCCACCAATAGCAATGAAGCACATAGCTCTTTAAGTTTCAGATTAATTCAAACATTTCTTATGCTTAAATTGTAGTCTAGAATCACTAGAAAACCTTATTCAAAGATGATGAGCTCATATCCGTGAACATTTTGAGCTTTTTAGAATACTGATCAACTTTAGATAAATAATCCATCATAATTGTTGAAGGTAGTTGTACGCAAGTTAAAAATACAAAAACTATGGAAAACTGCAGACTGAATAAATAATACTGATATGACAAATACATTATATTGAGAAAAAAGTGAATATGCAATATATTACTTACCAGGCTCCATGTAGTAGATGAATACTTCAGTAAGGAAACAATGTATATAATTGAAATATCATTAATAAACACATTAAGTGACACATTTAGAATATCATACTTCCCTGAACCAACAAAGGCTTAACTTACACATAGGTAAGTCTTTTGCACCTTAAGTAATCATTACTTCCATCCCTCATATTTGACATAGTTATCAAGTGTTTATTCAGAAACTATTTAAAAAATTACATGTGCTGGGATACATATGAGACTGTAACAACAGTAGCCCCATCTTACAGAGATCCTGTTTGTCATTATCATCATTGCTTGCTGCCCACAGGGATAAAGACATTGTATAGAGACTTGTACAGTCTATAATTTGGTCTTCTGAGGTGCCAGTACATGTGGATCTGTACAAATGCAACTGGTTTGGTTAAACAATCGAAAATCGGCTACAATAGTAGTCAAATCATGTCATTTGGGTTCACTAATAATACTTTCGAATCTTTTCAAATAAAACCAAAAACTTGCACATAATTCTCACTGGAATGGCCCAATTAATTGCCCCTTTTTTATACATTGGGATACAATCAGCTTATTTTTCTTAAAAAAAAAAATACAGATTCAACTGGGTGGGTTGCATTGGCTTTTAAAGATTTTGCTATTAAATTATCCACATTCTTAATGATTGAAAATGCCTTCCTGATACCACATCAGTTTTGGAAATGCAGCTCCTAATACAGTGCAACACCTCTGCAAAATCATAGGCTAAATAGTGAAGGAAAGAGGAATGCTAAATGTGTATATAAAAATAGGTGCTACAATAAAATATTTGTATATTTCATCAATAAGTTATTTTGACTAATCAATTATGGATCATATAGCTCTGTAATTTTAATGATTTGTCCACATCTATGGTGATCCTTTTCAGGATCACAATACTTTTGTTTTTTAATTCAAATGTCCAGAATGCATACAAACACATCCTTTAAAAACAAAGAAAAGAAATGAGAAGGGAGGGGAGGGAAGGAGAGAAGAAGGTGGGGGGGAAGAGAACAAACTTCCTATTAAAGTTGGGGTGTGCTAATTTCTCCACAAAAGCCAGTTAGACCCACCCATGGCTTAAAAGGGGAGAAAGGGAGGTGGGGCGGGGGCGAGGTGGGGCGGGGGCGGGGTGGGGCGGGAGCAAACAAGAAAGAGTAGAATCTATGCGCAGCCATCATCCACCATTCTTAGCACTTCCAACCACTATAAAAATGACTGCGACCTTTCACAAGTAACCCGCGCAGCAAATCGCCCTCCATAAAGCCCTTCTCTACACTTGCCCCACACACAAGAAGAGAAAGTGGTGTGCCCAGTTTACGCAAATGTTTCCCACGTGTAAATTTTAAAGGAATCTGCACACCCTTTTCGTATCTTCCACCGAAGCTGAGAAATCCCGTGCCAAGGCACTTCACCCTAAACGTTGAAACAACACAATCAAATGTGTTCACCGTGTGTGTCCGCTTGCTTGTTTTAAATGCAAAAGCTCCCAGGGAGTTTCTTTGCTTTTAGAACTGGCTAAATGTGGTCTGTTTTTCCAGCACTTCGAGGTAGTCCGGCTCAACGTTTAGTTTTGCTTTTAACTCCAGATATTCGTTCCGGTTGGGTTCTACAAAGACAGCACTCGGGGGGCTGTAGAGCACCGGTTCCCGCAGCCTGCTGTCCCCTGCCCCCGGGTGCAAATACTGATGGGGGCGTCTCAGGTCATAGTTGGGGGAGAAAGTGTAAGCAGCGGGGCTGCACGGGAATTTGGGATATTCGGGGAGGCTATTGCCGGCGGGGGTGGTGGAACAGTGTTTGTCTGGTTCTAAAATGCCCCTGTAAAAGCGGTCGGCGTCCTGCACCGGTGACAGCAGGTCCTCCCGGGGCTCGATGGTGCTGACGCTGTAGGCGGGGCTCCGCAAGTGGTGGCTTTCCCGCCTCTCCTCCTCCCCGGGCTGCAGCTGCAGCTGCGGCGGGGGCTGTTGCTGTGGCTGCTGCGGTGGCGGCGGCGGCGGCGGCTGCTGCTGCAGGTGGTGGTTGCTGCTGTAGGTGACCTTGAGCTCGTGCAGGTCTTTGTAATCCTCTACGGAGTTGCCCTCTCGGGAGCGGTAGATGGGGTTTTTGCACATGTGGCCCAGTGGGTGGGGGATGTATTCGTACACGTGGCCCGCGGGCGTCTTCACCTTGGGCAGCGCGGGACCGCGGTGGTGCACGTGCGCGTGTGGGTGGCCGCCTGCGCCGCCGCCGCCGCCATACACGCTGTACTGCATGTTGAAGGAGCTCACGTCGGAGTTGTTGGTGCTGGTGTGGTCGCTCTGGTTCTTCTTCCTGCGCTTCATGACCAGCACGAAGAGCCCGGCGGCCACGAAGACAGACATAATGAAAACCAGCAGGAGGCTGAGGATTAACACAGACAAGGGCACTGACGACGCCCCTCCGCCTGCGCCCAAGCCCGCAGGGGCCCCAGTGCTGTTCAGCCGGACCGCGGGAGTCACAGCGCTGGTCCTTGCGGGGACCTGGATGGAGGAGGGTGTGGGCGTGGACACCACTACATCTGAATAGTCTGGGCACAGCAGCTCCGACTTAATGGAGCGCATGTCGGTCTCAGCGAATTTCTTGGGCGCCTTACAGATCACCTCATCTACTAGGACGCCCACTTTGAGCTGCTCCACCCACAGCTTCATGCCCACAATGTCGCAGGTACAATCCCAAGGGTTGTCATGCAGGTCGATTTGGATGAGTGACTTCAGCTGGTCCAAAACTCCACTCACCGGCAAGGAGGTGAAGTGGTTACTCCTCAGGTTTAGCCTGAGGAGGGTCAGGCCGGAGAAGACGCCTAAGGGCATGGCCTGCAGGAGGTTGTTATTCAAGAATAGCAGCTGGAGGTTTGGGACCGGGTCAAAAGTTCCAGACTGAATCTCGCGGATGAGATTGTACTGGAGGAAGAGATACTGCAGGCTCTGCAGGCCGTAGAATAACTCCGGGCTCAGCCTCTCGATCCTGTTGCCATTCAGGTAGAGGCGCCTCAGGTTGGTGAGATCTCCGAAAGCGCGGTCCTGGATCATCGAGATTCGGTTGTTCCCCAGGTGCAGGAGGTCCAGCCCGGTGGCCTCCAGGAAGTCTGTCCTGCGCACAACAGCGATGTAGTTCTCTGTCAGATACATTTTCTTGGGATTGTAGGGCTTGGGCTGCAGTTCAGCGATGCTCTCGATCTTTCGCTCCTGGCAGTTTACGTTGAGGCCCAGATCAGAGATCTGCAGGTTGCAAGTGCACGCGGTGGGACACTCCAAAGGCACCGGGGATTTGGTCTGGTAGGCGATGCTGGGGCCATAGTTGCTGTAGCCCAAGTCCTTGGAGGGCTGCCGAGAAGTGGGGCGCACCCTGGGCTTGTTGGGTTGGCGGGTCCCCTTAGGGGGCTTCAGAGGGGGTTTGTAAACAGCAGAGGAAGAAGTGGCCACGGAATTCACTGAGGCCGGGGTGGTGTGTAAATACCCCGTGGTGCTCAAGGGCGTCTGCGGCCTCATCTCATAGTCAGAAATAAGTTTTCTTGGACAAAGTTCCTGCTTGGATACCTCATCCAAGTCCCTGCCGTGTAAGCGGAAGGGGGTCTCACAAACCACATCCCCTACCAGGGCTGAGTAGGAGATGCTGTCCAACCAATCCTTTAGAGAGATCAGCTCACAAGAACAATTCCAAGGGTTTTCCTCCAGCTGTAGCTCCACAACTTTATCCATGTGTTGCAACAGCCCCACGTAGGGCAGAAGTTTCAGCCGGTTCCCACGGAGGTCCAAGTGCGTTAAGGGCACAAAACGGAAAAGATTGTTGGGTAAACTGGACAGAAGATTGTCATTGAGGATAAGCACCTGCAACAAATGCAGTTTCCCAAAAGCATTGGGTTCAATGACGCTAATGTAATTATAATCGACCTGTAGGTACTCCAGGTTCTCCAAACCAAGAAAGGTATCATCTCGCAGAAGTTCCAGTTTATTATTGTTCAGATGCAGTCTCCTCAAACCCCGCAGCCCGTGGAAAGCCCCGGTCTCAATGTCCTGGATAACATTGCTACCCAGATGCAAAATTGAAGCCCCAGTGTAATTGACAAATTCATTGGGATAGAGACGGTTCAAAAGGTTTCCTGACAACAAGAGGTGGTAGATTGGGAAACGGGGAGGGCTAATTTCAGAAAGACTGATGATCCCCCGATTTTCACAGCTCACAGTTAAAATGCCATCCTTTTCCTCACAAGGACATGCATTGTCACAGATTTCCCCATAATAATCGATGGTTTCTGCGCACGAAAGGACGAGAGATGTTACAGCAAACGCTAGAGTCTGCAGCATCCAGCTATGCATTTTTCTGTGAAGGTCCTGTTCCAAAGTTACTGGGGGGCAGCAAGTGTGCATTTTACCTCCTGTAAGGGACAGAGGAAACAAGGAAACAACAGAATATGACAAAAATTTAAGGGATCAGTCAGAAAGTCCCTCTCTTTCTTTAATCTAATTACTCTAAAACCCAAAAGGAAGAGATATAAATGACACGCCCCCCACCGTGAAACATTGACATTCTCCAGATTTTAAAAAAAATCTTTATACATTTTGATTTAAAGGTTTTCTTTTTTTTTAAAATGAACACAGCACAAATATGCTGCTCTTTACAAGATAAGGGCAGGTTAGATAAAGTCCCTTTTAAGTGTTCTCTACTCCCCCCACCTTTTCAAAACCAATCCATAAATATACATAAAATGGCTGTCAGTTCAGTTTCAGAGTTCTAATTTAAGAAAAAAGAAGCACCATTTTACAAGGTTCCCACCTCACCTATACCCAGCCCCCACTTTCTTTCTTTCAAAGCCTCTTCAGTTAACAGTTCACCACGAAGGTCTCTCATTTTACAGAAAGGCAAGGAGCCAAGATACTTGGGGTATTTTAAACCATCTCTAGAAATGCCACGGTGGGAACCTAAAGACTACTTTTCAGAGGCAAAAAGGGTGTAAAATAATGCATCAAAGGAGCCAGAAGAAGCTCTTAAATCACCAATTGTCTTCCGGAGCTTTGAGTGAAGAGAAAAAGGAGAGCGCATTTGCTTTGATGGTGGACTTCACTACCACGCTATTAAGCACATCAGCGTCCTAATTGCATGCACAGTGTCACTTAGCAGCGCTTCCCTGAGAGCGCTCTGCGACCACTTCTCATTGATCATGTCGGCGATGCTACCAAACCTCATCTTTAAGCCACTGAAATAGTTCTGCACGATGGATTACAAAGAACTCAGCGAAGGGATCCGCAATCTCGGAGTATCTCCCGATGCCTAGAGTTTAAAAAGGACGTTCCTATCGCTTACCGGGAATCAGCTAAAAGTAAACCAAGGATCAGCGCCAAAGCCTCCCTTACCTTGGACTCCGCGTCTATTTGCCACGGTAATAGCAAGGTTTGCACGGAACTACCACCTCGACAGCATCCCCATCTTTGGACTTGCTTATTACATTTAATTGTTAACGCTCCCCTTCCTCCTTTTTCTGATCTCAGGGAAAAGGACGCCTGGGCTGAATAAGAGGCAAAATGGAAAGGTGGGAGGGAGAACTGTAAATGACTTAGGTCAGTTCTTTAATATCCGAATTTCATCTCCCCCAGGAATCAGTATGACCTCCTCCCCCCTTTTTTTCCTTGCTTGCTTTTTGTCCCCTTGAAGGCTTCCTTCCACTTCCTACTTCTGATCAACAGCAACACTCTTAAAGGAAGGACATAAATGGAATAAGAGTGTGAGTGTGTGTGTGTGTGTGTGTGTGTGTACGCGCGCGCGCGCTGCGCTGGTTAACGGGGTGGGTGACATTTGATAGAAATGCTGGGCTCTAGGAACCTATACCTTTTCTCTGGTCAACCTTGCCTTTACCTCACTACCGGAGTCTAATTAATAAATTGCCACCCAAACTAAAGCCAAGATGTTTCCGAGACAGCGGTTCAAGCCTGGAGACCTTGCTCCTGATCCCCAAGTCGACTCCAGCCCGCGTTATTAAACGCCCCTGCATTCACACGCACATGTGCCAGTGTGCCTGCGAATCATTCACGTGTGGCCACCCAGACGTGTCGAGACGAATCGGAACCACAGTGCATAAACCTCGCAAGTATCCCCGACCTCCCAACTCAACGGTAAACGTCTCCCGGCTTAAAAGCGGCAGAAACACCCCAGTGAAAGCAAAACGTTTACCTTGAAATTTCAGTTCTCCACTGGATCAAATCCGCACATCCATTCAGCGAGGTTGGGTCCCCTCCCCCTCCCTCCCTGTGCTTCCCCGCCCCCATTCACCTCCCACCCCATCTGAAAGCCCATTGCAAATTCTGTTCAGCCAGTATTAAACTCCAGCGTTTACAACTTTAATTCAGTTCTAGTTAGCAAGGGTCGAAGAGCTTCCTTTCAACCCATTCCCTTTCCCCTCCTCCTTGCTAGCAAAGTAGACCAAAAATTGGAGAAAATAAAGTTGAATGAGCCTGGAAAGGCTGACATTCTGACGGGGAAACGCACCTCCGATGCAAATTCGCGGATGCGCTGAACATTCTCAGATTCTCGGATTTTTTTTTTTTTTTTGAGGGCGGGGGCGGGGGGACTATTTGTTTTCTCTCAAAGAATTTAGATACTGGATCACGGCCCCGTACATCCCTGCATTAAGCGACACGGAGCGGCTCAGATTAGAGCCCAGCACCCAGGCCGACCGGAGGCTCCGGACACAGCTGCTCAAGCGGCCGCCCAGGCAGAAGCACCCGGAGTTCCAGGACGCGAGGCTCCCCCTCCCCCACCCCGCCCCAAAGAGAAGGAAGGGAAAACGGAGGAAGGGGAGGGAGGAGAGGGAAAGAAAGCCACCCCGCTGCACACACACACACACACACACACACACACACACAGACACACACACAAAACCTCTTTTGCAAAGTAAATGGTAGACTTACCCCGTCTCACATCTCCAAGGCCCACTCATCCTAGCCACCCTTTAAAAACACACACACATACAAAAATCTCTCTTTGGGGTATGCACTGGGTTTTCCAAGCCCAGGCAGGGCGGGGAGGCTGCGAGCAGCGCGGTCTCAGGGGCTGGAGGAAAGAGGCGCCCGGACGCCGCCAGCCCGGGGCCGCCGCCGCGGTGGCGACGGCGGGTTCCGGGGCTCCCCAAACGGCTCTCCCAGGCGCTCTCCGCGGTAGTCGGAGCGGGCAGCAGGGTTGAGAGGGGGAGAGCGGGGGGCGATCTGGAGCGGCGGGATGGGAAGGCGGCGGGAGGGGGCGGCGGAGGACCGGCAGAAGAGGAGCCTCGCGGTAGGGGCCGGGAGCCGGAGCCGGGCGGGGCGGGGAGGGGGAGCTGCTGGGAGGGAGGCACGGAGCAGGAGGAGGGGGACGCGGAGAAGACTGCCTGGCACCGCCGGCCCCGCCAACGTGACGGTCAACCCCGCCGAGCGCTCGCACCCGCTCACACTCAGCCTCACTGGCACACTCGCTCCCATCTCGCTCCCGCGCGATCGCGGGGTCCCCGGCAGCTTCAGCTGCTCCCTTCCCCCAGGGGGTACTCACAGTTCCCATCTGCGTGGGGGTAACTTTCTCCGACCCAGCTGTGGCTGCCGCCCCCTCCAGCCTCCTCCGGCTCCTCGCACCCTCGGGCCTGGGTTCGCGCCGGCCGGCCCTCCCCTCCCCCCTCGGCTCTCCTCCCCGCCGTCTTCACCACATTCCCCCCTGGTCAGTGCCGCACGCCCGGGGACGAGCCAGAGGGAGCGGGTCGCGGGGATGTGCATGCATCTCCCGCCTTCTTCTTGCAGCGCACACTGTACATGGTAGTGAGGGGGCGAGCGAAGGTGGCACCGGCCCCTCTGCTGCTCCGGCGGCGGCTTCAGCTCCTGCGCTGTCCTCCGCCCCCCGCGCAGCGGCGACCACCGCGCTGGGATCCCGCCGCCGCCGCGGCCCCTAATTAGTATTTGAGAGGCTCCCGCATCCTTTTGGCAGTTTCATCCTTCACGGTGTTTGCAGGGTTTTGTTTTGTTTGTTTTTCCTGTATCCCTTCCCCAGATGCGACGCACGATCGTCATTATTTGGAACTCTCTATCACCGACATCCTTTGGGGTTTCTGCGGGGGGTGGGGGGGGTGGGCAGGAGCAGCTTCGTTCTTTGCCTGTGGCGTGTCCTGGCAGCCCGGTGGCTCTAAAAAAAAAACTCCGAGAAAGTCGCGTCTTCCTCCCGGGTGCAGAGGTGGTGGCAACGTGATCAGCAACGCCGGGTCTCGGATCCCGCCGCTCCGGAGCGGGTGCAGGGCCCAGTCCAGTGCACTTGTTTATTGTCGCGCCGCTGGTGCGAGCCGAGCTGCAGCAGACATGATGGGCCCGGGGCGAAGCGGGCGCTCGCTGGCCGGTAGGTGGCAGCCGAGGGCGAAGGCGTCCCTGGGCTAGGGCGGCGCAACCGGAGCCCCCTTGGATGTCACCAGCGAAGGAGACAGAGGAGTCTTGGACCATGTGCGTAATACGAGCGTGGGACTGTGCAGTTCTCGGATTGGGAAAGGGAGGAGTGGAAATAACCCCGACAGTGCCAGGCTTGCTGGTGGACAGGGACAGATGATTTCAGCCCTGTGCTGATCGCCAGCCTTCCTCTGCCGTTTAGAATGCTGCTGTCTCATGTACATACTGTAAAGGATCCTAGAAAAGGGAGTGGTTCCTCTTAGCTGCAAAAAAGGGCGCTACTTTTCTTTTCTCTTTTTTAATAGAAGTAAGTGTTATAGGTGTGCCTAGCCAACACAAGGGAATGTGAACGACTTTCAGAGGGAATGTTTGTGAATACATTTGGTGTGTACAAAAAAGCTGGAAAACCCCTAAGTAAATGCAATATCGATAGAAAGCGAGTTTCTTGAAGAGTCACCTGCTAAACTCCACTAGAGTCATCTTTACAGTAAGTACTCTTGGCTCTTACCGTGAAACCAGACACCTCCATCCCCAAAAGGGGTGTCTTTACATTCATAAGACATGTTTTCAATGTTTGTAATATTAGACCTGCCGTTCATCCCAGGTATAAAAGAAAAGTTTATCATAATAAATGGCCCAGTGCAGGCTGAGTGCACATGTGCCTGTTCCTTTGATAACTGTGTAGTTTCTCCATGTAAATATATTTTATCCACTTCATTTTGGAATTAATTTTGTCTTAATTATAATTGGTATTATTTGGTATTGTTTTATTCTTAGTAATATTTGGGATATTGTGGTTAAAATATTCTGATTGATCACTTTTAATATTAATATAGATTCTGATAATACGTCTATGTTCTAAGATGTATTTATAGCTGAGGTGATGAACATTGCAGTCTCCTGAGGTTTTGCAATCTTTTTTTGACTTTCCCCTGCATATATTGTACATATGTATATATATATATATATATATATATATATATATATATATATATAAAACTTTATACCATAAATACTTTGTTTGGAAACAATTTTGTTCAAGTGTGGATTACGTTCAAGGGAGAGGAAGGAAGGAGGTAATATGTAATTTCAGATATTGAAAACAAAATCTTGTAATAGAACTTTTTATTAAATTTAGAACCATTTGACCTAGGAATGACAGCCACTAGCTATAGATACATTACATAAACAAATATAACTTACGTTTCATCCGCAAAAGGCTGATTTCTTTATTTTTTTAATTAGTCATATAGTTTTAACATTATATAAACATTTTAGAAAATTTATTTTTACGTTTAAACTTACTTTTATATTGTCAAAATGAAAACGTAATATTTAAGTTTAAAATTATATAGGAATTACAGCCAGAAACCTTTGGGTTATAAATATTGAGTCCTTTCAAAAACATGATTTTCAATATTGATTAAATTTGCAGAAGTTCTGAAAAGTCCTAAATTGTCTTCATCGATTATTGAAATTTTCAAAATAGCTGAAAGAAAGCTGTTATATTTTATTATTTTATCGCTGTTTTAAATCTTTATCATTGTATTAATATCAAAGTTTAATTCTTGGCATTGTATTACTTTTATTTTAAATACTTATTGTCCTAATTAAAGTAAATGTTATTCAACTAAGAGGTATTAAATATGTTTGGAATTAGTTTAGGTTATGGTTTGTTAGGAACACTTATGCCAATAATCTAGTTTGCCTCTTGTGGTTCAAATACATAAATGATGAAAACTTTTACCATGAACTCAACATTAAGGATGGCCCCGGAAGCCACCATTACCTTTTGCCACTAGGTGTCTCTATAAGATACTTTGCAAGAGAATGCATTTTTAGAAAATACTGTGACATGAAGAGATCAGAGCAGAAGAACTCTCACAAGAGGGAAAACATCATGGATACAAGGGAAAGCCTCAGTTATTAATCTATTTCTTTATTTCCATTGAATGTTGACTATTGCCTAGAAAATTTATAAATGAATTACGTAAGACTGATTAAATTTGAGCCAAAATTTTTACCCACATTAAAAAAACGTACCGTGTTTTGGTCTGTACTAAAACACATATAGTTATATGTGTATATATGGTTTCAGACAGCACTTAGATGCATGCACTGCACTTAATTACACAGACACATTTGGCCATTGTAAAATTAAATGATTGATCAAATATATCTCTCCAGAATTAAGTTCATTAATATTAAAAATTATTTGTTGGAGTTGTATGTGAAAATCACATTTGTCCAAATGTTTGGAAATATATTTTTACATATTAGAATTATCTGTTGAGAGAGTTTCATCATAAATACATAGTTATATCATGTAGGGAAATATATCTGGCAAATATATTTGGCAATTATAATGCAAATATAATTGTCAATATCAATTATGACCATAATTTGAAACCTGTAAATTTAAATTTAAACCATAAGTAGCATACTTGCCACTTTAAATTGGCCATATAGTTTTGTAAATTTATATTATGATCCAGAATTATTATTTTAGTCCAACATGAACACAAGAGGAATTATTGTATTAAATACTTTTCTTAAGATAACCTTTCACATTTGTGTATCACTGTGTGTTGTCTTTAGAATATTAAAATGCTTAGTCAAGAATTATGGTGCTTTAAGAAACAACCTAATGAGGATTATAAACAAGGAAATTCGTTATTAATCATTGGATGACTTCATAAGTATTGATCAACATCTAAAGCCAGTAGAACTTGCATTTTTGTTGTTGTTGTTGTTGTTGTTGTTGTTGTTGTTAGGTTAACTGGTGAGTTAAGATTATGGAATTCTAATGCTAAGTTTAGATTCCTCCATAGTAATGGCTATGAAGTCTGTTCAACTCGATTGAATAAATGACACATTTTTCAGGTCTAAATTAAAGGGCATTTGTTTTTAAGGTTTTTGAAATTGAAATTATAGATATATATATAATTATATGTAATATATGTCATGTATGTATCACATATCTTAAAGGAGAAAATAAAAGTTTCTCCTGGAGGAAAACAATGAGTGATCATTTATGACTGTGTCTCTATGCAATTGCTAAACTAAATAACTGTACAACATTTGTCTATGACATTTTGTCTAACATATTTAAAATTAAAAATAAACATCATGCAGTTATATTTATCAAATTAAAAATGGCCAGCAAAACTAATTTTGCTGAAATTATTTATTCACTTAACAGACTTAATTACTTACAGCCTTAGAAATAGAGTCTGAGAGGCATTACAAAAGAATATACATAAAATAGGTTATTTTCTTCCTTGCCTCATTCAGTTCCTTGCATATATATTCTGATATTTTATTATATAATCAAATAAGAAAATATCCTCTTTGGAGAACCAGTTGGAAATATCTACGAAAAATATCTTTGGAACACTACTTTTACAGAAAGTAGCCTTCAGATGTGCCAAAGTAAGATATATAAAACACTATGTCAGAAGATATTCTTTGTAACAAATCTTGCATTTGAAAATGACTCAGAACAAGTTCAATGTCTGACTCACGGAAAAGTGGCACACATCCATCCATACTTACAATACTCTTCTACTTTAAACAACAGTTTGTATAGGAATACTGTTTTGCCGTTACTAGGAGTATATATAACATTACCTATAATATCTGTGAGACAGATCTTTTTTTTCTTGAAAGAAATTAATACACACAAATCCAGTAATAGTGGTTACCTATTGGAAGAAGACTGGCATCTTAAATAGAATAGGAATTTATTTTTCA